GGGGGAAGAGAAGAGTCGGGGAGAGGGTTAGTGTGCGTTCACAACTAGCGCCCCACATCAATATGCACGCACACACATACACACACACACTCACTCACACGTTCTCTCTCTCTCTCTCTGCCGCTCTGTGTACAGTCTGTCCGATCCTTGCGTACTGCTGCAAAAAGCTCAACTCGTGGCACGCAAACCGGGAGCAAGAACGCGTCGTCGAGGAGCAAGTCCAGCGCACAGAGCGCTCCTTTGACGAACGCGAACACGCCCGCAGAGGTAGGCATGTGTGTGTGTATGTGTGTGCGTGTGCGTGCGTGTGTGTGTGTGTGTGTTGATTCAATGGCCAAATCCATGTGTCCTGGTCTGGCTCGTCCCCGTCCCCTTCCGTGCGCATTACTTGCATGCATGCATGCGTGTAATCATGTGCCGATGCCTGCATGCATGCATGTTCATGCCAACCACTCACACACGTGCAACAACAATCACAACCTCTGCCACGCATCAGCGGGCATGCGGACGGAAACGCCGCCGTCATACTACGGCCCCGGCGAAAAGGCGCCAGATTACGAGGCAGCGCTTAGCGACACCGTCCTTGTCTCATGTACGCACGTGCTCATGCTGTGCGTGCAGCGGATATGGCGCTTTCCTCCACCTGCTTGCTCGCTGACACCACTCAGACCGCCCCACCCCACCCCGTTTTCGCTCTCATGACCTCATGCTTCGCGTCGCTGACTCCACGTTGTGTCCTCTCTGCCCCATCCCCCCATCACCCCTTCTGTTTTCTGCTTCCCTCACCCATCTCCCCTCCCCCTCCCCCCATTTCATTGTTTCCCCTGTCCAACTTGATTGCCCGCAACAGCCGGTGGATCGACAGCCAACCTGCTCGCCAGCACCGCAAGCAGCGGCAGCGGCAACAGCGAAACAGCAGCAGCATCTGGTGCCAACAGCAGTAATGGAAGTGGCGGTGGCGGCGGTGGCGTGTTCTCGCTGTTTGGACGCCGCCGCACCACACACCAGCAGCAAGGCAGCACTGGCCGCACACGCCAGTCTGCCCTGCCATCCCTGCCGGAAGAGGAACGCGAACACTTTAACGCAGACACATACCACCTCCAAGCAACAGCAACAGCAACAACATCATCATCATCATCGGCAGGAGAAGCCCCACAGCAACACGAGTACACAACCCTTCATGCGGGTCAGCAGGCGAGCACCAGCAACAGCAACAGCGGTGATGGTGGTGGTGCCGGCAATGGCAACACGACGGCACCGCACCCCGCCGTCTCTGCACTCGTGGCTGAAGCGGAGTTCAGGTGTGTTACGGTGGATGTGCGTGCGTGCGTGTGTGTACAAATGTGTGCGTGTATGTACAAATGTGTGTGTGTGTGTGTGCTCGTTCGTGTGTACAGATGTGTGTGTTCATGTGTATGTGCAAATGTGTGTGTGTGCGTGTCAACCGTCTTGCCCTCCTTCCCATCACCACCACGACCAACTAACCACCACGATTCATCACCACCACCACGATTATCATCACCACCGCCAACAGGGCGCCCACGCCCTCCAGCCCGCCCGCGTACGATTCCGTCGTGCACATGATCGAGAGCATCAACGACGACGACGACGACGAAGATGATGGCGATGGTGTGAGTGAGACGAGCGCGCTCACAGACTCACTGCCCGTGAATCCGCTGCCAGCGCCTGTGGCCATTGCTCGCCCCGTCCCATCATCACCATCATCAACAGCCACAGCATCAACAGCCACATCTGCCACAGCATCATCGTCGTCGTCAGCAACAACAGCACAGCACCGTAACGACAACAGCAATCGCGCGACACCACCACCGCCCTCTCTCTCCCTCCGCCTCCCACCACTTGCTCGCATCACCGCCCAGTCGTCATCGTCGTCGTCGTCTTCATCACTGCGGCGGTCGCGAACAGCAACGCCAGTGAACCAACTCGAGGAGCAGGATGTGTGACATCTTTGAGATGCGTGTGAGAGATGTGTGCGTTTGGGGAAGTGTGAGAAATGTGTGCGTGTGCGTGTGCGTTTGGGGAAGTGTGAGATGGAGGGAAAGTGTGTGACGAACAATGTGTGTTGAGCGAGAGAGAGAGAAAGACAGAGAGAGACAGAGAGAGAGACAGACAAAGAGAGAGAGAGAGAGAGAGAGAGAGAGAGAGAGAGAGAGAGAGAGAGAGAGAGAGAGAGAGAGAGAGAGAGAGAGTGTGTGTGTGTGTGTGTGTGAGTGAGTGTGTGTATGTGTGTGTGTGTGTGTCTTGTGCGTTGCGGTGTGAGATTGAGTTTAAAGCGGGGATAGCTTGTGGTGGACGTTAACGGAAGCAACAGGAAGGCGCGTGCAGCTGTCGTTCCAACGAGCCCTGACACTTTTTTTTTCTTGTTGTTTGCGTCGTAACAATTCTGTTCTGGCATGTGCCACGCTGTTACATCAGGCACACGCCACCCCCATGACCGTATCTGTGTGCGTGTGTGTATGATTTCTGCCAACACCAAAGCAGTAAACGAACGTCCAGTCATGTCATGTCATGTTGTCGGTGTATTGGAGCGGAGCTGTGAAGGCGGTGATGTGATGGAAGAGGGGGGGGGGAGAGATCAACGGCGCTTACGCAGCGGTTATGGGGCAGTTCCAACGGATGAAGATGAAGAAGGGAAAGGGAAACAAAGGGGAACAAGGGAGACAACGAGCTGCATTCAGCGAACAAACAAAGAAACGATCAGAGCAGACGGGAAAAGAGAAGAAAAGCAAGGCAGATTGTGGTTCAACGCATGCACGTACGCTTGATCACAAGGACCAAAGCACATGCAAGAGGAGGAGAAGCAGAGCGGGAAGCAAGAGCGGGAGCAAGGCAGCAAGGCAGCAAGGCAGCAAGGCGCATGGTCGTGGTACATGGGAGCAACACCATCGTGCATGCATGCATGCAACGGTGAGGCCTCGATCAGAACTTGACACTTCATCTTCACGAAGCGACACATCCCAATACGGGCCATGTTGTGCTCCTGACAATTTGGACCAGGGAAACCAGCGGGTTGGGGGGGGGGAGTGGGGTGTTCAGTGAAAAGGAGAGAGGGAGGTGGACAAACGAAAGAAGCAATGGTCAACGCATACGTGCATGAATGTGTGTCGGTTGTGAGCACCAAACACGTGCAAGGAGGGAGAAAAGCAACGCGAACAGTGGTGGTGGCATATGGGGGGAGGGCAACATGAGCGTGTGTGGCATGGCTCTAACAATGCGGGGTTGCTCGTTCAGTACTTGAACTTCATCTTGATGACATAGCGCATCTTGATCTGGGCCGTGTTGTACACCTGGCAACAGCGGCGGCAGTGAGATGGAGATGGAGAGGAGTGCGGGGGTAGGGGAGTGAGTTGGAGAGGATTGTGTGGACCACAGCATCATTGATGTGGTTGAACGAGACTGTTGCGTGCACAGACAACAACACACAACAAACAACAAACAACAAACAACAAACAACAAACAACAAACAACAAACAACAAACAACAAACAACAAACAACAAACAACAAACAACAAACACGACGCACGATGAACTCGTCGTAGAGAAGGGCGCCGCCCTTGGCCTTTGGGTTGGACACGCCTTTGCCGAGCGGAACAGAAACGCCGTCATCAAGCTCAACTGCACGTGCAATGGTGCATGGAGGTAAGAGGGCGATGGTGGTGTATGTGTTTGTGTATGTGTGTGTGAATGAAGGGCGGTCCACCTTCAGCTGGAAGTCACATCCACATGGCAGTCACATCACAACACATCAACACGCATCAGCACAACATATCAGCAGCTCATACAGCGCAGCTCGTCACACTGACTTGTTTCCTTGGGGTCTGGGGTGGTCTTGCCGATGCCCCACGTGCTGTCCTTCCCGGCGGCTTGGCAGCTCTCCGCAGCCGTGTATTCGGAATGGAGCCTGGTACGTTGTGGCGGTGGTGGTGGTGGATGTGGCAGTGGTCGTGACGGAATGGTGTGCATCGTGGCGTTGATTCAACTCACTCATACAAGCACACACACACACACACACACACACACACACACACACACACACACACACACACACACACACACACGAGCGCGCATACACACATGCATGCAAATACACCAGCAAAACAAAGATGACGGGGTCAACTCACCTCTCGTACATGTCGCCAAGAGCGACTTCGCAGAGGAGGAGAACGCCTGTTGAGTCGCTGCGGCTCGGGAAGCAGTAGTTGGCGCTCTTGGATACCATGGACGCAAAGTACACGCCTGATCATCATCGCAGTCGTCGTGGTCGTGGTTGTTGTTGGTAAGGTTGGTATGGTTGTGGCGGTGATTGTGCGAGGAGCAATGGCTTGCGGTGCGTGCGTGTGTGTGTGTGTGTGTGTGTGTGTGTGTGTGTGTGGGTGCGGTTATGCTGGAAAAAGAAACATCATCGGCAGCAAAACACGTGAAACATAACGGCTCACCTTTGCCAAACACTGCAGACGTGGAGAAGTGCGAATGTGTGTGTGTATGTGTGTGTGTGTGTGTGAAAGTCGTCATCGTGAGTAGGTGCGATGATTGAGAAGAAAACAACGACCACGATGATGCAGGGCAGCAACGCATGTGATGCAACGCGGCATTGCAGCAGCTTTGGGTGGAGTGCAAAACGTACTCTGTTGTGCATGGCGGCGCGGGCGTCGATGCGGCAAAGAAAGTCGCACACGGAGCAATCACACCCACACACACCCACAGACAAAGCAGCACGTGAGCATGGAAATGGGCATACATACGAGTGTCAACACGCCAACACACTCACACAAATGCAAACACGTGTGTGTGTGTGTGTGTGTGTGTGTGTGTGTGTGTGTGTGTGTGTGTGTGTGTGTGTGTGTGTGCGTGTGAAGAAGCGAGCATATGTACGCACGTAACCCGTGACGGGGGCCTCTGGAGGAGCGATGCGAAGGCCTAACCATGAAATGACATGAAGTGATATGAAAAAGTGGATGAGGTGCAAATGCGTAGAGACAGGGAGCATCGGAGAGCGACAAACATTGAAGCGCAATTCACTTCCACAACTCAACATCACAAACACATACACACACACATACAGACACAGACAGACACAGACACACACAACGTCAACGCATCCCATCATCGCGCGCACCTTGGGAGAGGATGCCGACCCAGTTGGTAAGGCGAGAACCGTGCCAGAGAAGGCGGCGGTTGTCGTACTCGGCAAACGGCTTGTACTTGTCCTCCTCGCCCTCCTTCTTCACCTTGAAGGCGGACTCCACCTCCAGCTTGTACTGGCTGTGCGTCTTGGCGTGCGTGTTGCGCACGTACTTGCGCAACATCTCCATTTCATCGGACGACTGGTCCACCGGCTGCAAATCGCACTTGAGCTTCGAGTAGTTTGCGTCCACGCGGTTCACGCCCACCTCTTCCTCGCCCTCCTTGATGAGCTTGTTGGCGTGCTGGATCTCAAGCAGCTGCTCCATCAGGTCCAACTTCCGCTTCAGCATCTCCATCGTGCTGGCACACAACAAGGGTACACGTGCGCATGTGTGTGTATGTGTGTATATGTGTGTATGTATGCGCATGTGTGTGTATGTGTGTGTATGTGTGTGTGTAAGTGTGTGTTTGTGTGTATGTATGTTGTGTATGTGTGTATTTTGTGTATTATTGTGTGTGTGGCATTTCCGTGAGTGACAGTCGAGAGAGCATCTCTCCACGTCGCAAAGCTCCAAACCAACAATTTCCCCCTCCCTTGTCTCTCCCCTTCGCACCTGATGACGGGCGGGGCGCGGAATGTGGGGAACTGGTGAGGGATTGCGGTGTAGAAGCGGTTGGTCGCGTCCAACAGCAGCGTCGACTTGTGCTTCTCGTCCAGGACCGTCCGCGTGCCGTTGAGAATGTCAAGAATCTCCTTCAAAATGCCGTAGCCCTGTTGTTGAAGTTGGGAGGAGGGGGAGGCATTGTGTCGTGGTGGGGTCGTGGTGAAAGGAGGAAGGGGTGCAAGTCACCAACTCAACAACGCATTCCCAAAGGCGGCCATTCAACAAGCGGAAGGATGCAAGCGAGAGCACACAGTCGAAAAAGCGCACACGCACGACATACATACACACAGCACAATGCAACACGCCACAACACACACAACACACACACACACACACACACACACACACACACACACACACACACACACACACACACACACACACACACACACACACGAGTACGGCACCTGCTTCATCTGGCGCTGGCTGAGGGAGCCGAGCGGCATCTTGCTGAGATCAATGTTGGCGTCGGCCATCGACCGTCGCATCATGTCCTTGTCAAAGATGAGCTTCACAAAGTCTTGCACCTCGGGGGCGAGCTGTGGAGCAATTGAAGCAGTTGTGTGGGAGGAAGAGGAAGTGGACATGAGATGAGGGAGAAGACGGATCTACGTACACGTCACACACGCGCGCAACCTCTTACCCTCTCACACATCGCACGCGCACATTTACACATCACACACGCACACACATCACACATACGCATCACATCACACACACACACACACACACACATTTACACACACATCCACATCACACATACGCATCACATCACGCTTCACCGCGCTACCTTGGACGTGAGGTCCTTGGGCACGCTGCCCGGCTGCTTGCTGGCGGACTTGGCCGTCTTTGTCGCCTCCTCCACCTTGGCCTGCGCATCCTCGACGCTCATCTGGCCCTCGAGCTCCACCATGTTGTAGCGGCCGGGCTGGTGCTGGAAGTTGTCCACGTCCGCCCACGGCCACCCGGTTTGCTTCTCAAACTTCTCCGCAAACCCCTGCAGCGATAAAGGTTGGTGTGCGTGTGTGCATGTGTGCATGTGTGTGCATGTGTGTGTGTGTGTGTGTGTACGTGAAAGAGTGAGCGAATACACACATGCACATGCACATGCACACATTCACGTTTAAGTGCACGTGCGACGGCAAGGTATCCCCCCTTGCATCAGATGTACCTGGGTGGCCTTGTCGACCGACTTGAAACGGCGGCTCATGTACGACGGCTTGCCTGACACACCCGGACGTCACCAGGCACAACACAAACAACAGCAAGGGATGACAGAATTGCATGTGTGTGTATGTGTGTATGTGTGTGTATGGTGAGTCAACATGGCCTTCAACATGGGCCATCAACACGACACGACACAGACAGATACA